AAAGGCTCCATAAGTCTATAAGGAAATGAGGGAATATACCTTGAAATAAATATGCCTTGAGATATAGTAGGTCCCAAAACAATTTAAGGCAGCTCCCGTAATTAAGGGATATTGGAGTCTCTGTGAACGCTTGGAGGAACCACTAGAGGAACCAAACCCTAAACCCTAAACCCCGGAGCCTGAAACCTTCCCCACATGCCGGAACACTGCAAGCGCACCGCGACGTGCAGTGCCGGCGGCACAGAGGGTGGCGTGAAGAGGGCCATGGTCGGAACGCTCCGAGCGATGGGATGTGCAGTGGAGATTAGGATCTTCGGTTCGCCGCTCGCGTCGGAAGTTTGAAAGAGGCTTTGTGCGCGAGACTTGTACAAACTTCGTACCGAGTTCTTGATGGTTTTATGAAGGCTTTCGGGTTTCGGTTCAGGGCTAGGGTGCCCTGGTCTTCGGCTTGAGGTCAAAGGTTTAGACTTTTAAGGCTTAGGATACTGGTCGTTATGGATAAGGAGTTCGCCTTCGGTAAAGTGGGTTTCGGGGCATGGAGGTTTGGGGGTGTAGGGTTGACAGATGGGCGGCTCATGGCACATGCTGAAAAAGCCTGCGACATGTGTCTAAAGCACCGCCCTCATGGCCTGATACGGACATTGATACCCGAATGTCCTAAACCCCTATACCCCGATACCGAAATTCTTACGTAAAATACCCGAAACCCCAATAACCCTAAACCCTAAACCCTAAACCCTAAAATGAAACCCTGAGCCCTAAACCTAAACCTAAACCCTAAACCCTAAACACCTCTACTTCCGTAAACTCCATATCACCGAGGGCCTTCCGGGCTTCTTAAGCTCTCAGAACCCCGGGGTCGGGCAAATTAGCAACCAGTCCTTTATTTAGGGTTTAGGGTCTAGGGTTTTGGGGTTTTGGGGTTTTGGGGTTTTGGGGTTTTGGGGTTTTGGGGTTTTGGGGTTTTGGGGTTTTGGGGTTTGGGGTTTGGGGTTTGGGGTTTTGGGGTTTTGGGGTTTAGGGTTTTGGGGTTTAGGGGTTTTGGGTTTTGGGGTTTTGGGTTTAGGGGTTTAGGGTTGAGGTTTTAGGGTTTGGGGTTTTGGGGTTTAGGGTTTTGGGGGGTTTAGGGGTTTAGTGTTTTGGGGTTTAGGGGTATCATTGTTGTGATAGTCTCCTATAGTTTACTATACAAAGCCCATTCCAAGTAAGGCCCCTGACTCGTATGCCTTTGGGTTCCTTGGTATTGTCATGGTACAACATACCCCGTTCTAATTATTCAGGCCCTAGACTAGTTCTTGAAGTCAGGGCCGTGTTTAAATCCCCAACGGATAACTACAGTCGCTAGAGGTTATTGGACTTAGTAAGTAAAGCTTTGAGTGCCTGAACTTGAGTATAATCAATGATAGGTATAGTCACCTGTTTTATAGCCCTAGTTACTAAGTCCCACTTCAAGTACGGCACTCGCACCAAGAACGATGAACCCTGGCTTCAAAGCCTAAAACCCAAGCCCTGAACCCTTCAAAACCCTAAACCCTAACTTCAAAGCCTAAATCCCACACCTTGAACCCTTCGAGAACGTCTTCGAAGAGAAGCTCGGGGAATAATGCAGGGGCCTTAATTGGAATAGGGTTTTGGGGTATATGATAATACATCCCCAGGGGATCCGTGTCTGTAAATAGTGGTAACGTTGCAATGTTGTACAGCTCGGCTGACGTATCACATGTGTGCAGAATTTGTCAACGTGTCCATATCAATGGAAACCCCGACCTTCCAGAGGCCATATCTTAATGGAAAACCTAGCTCTTTAACCCCCCGGCCTCCTCGGATGAGTGTGAGATGAAAAAATAATAAATATAAGTTATGTGGTATATAGGATCGTATCCAGATAGAGCCCAAAACCCCTTCGACATTTCCATTCTGTCTGGCACATGGTGCAAAATGCGCAGTGATACGGCCTCGAAAGGCTCAAGGATGTGACATGCCGGGCTATACGGTGGATCAGGTGATCTGCACAGCTGCCGAGTATGTTGAATCGAGACCTAGAATTTTCGAATCGTATATTAAGCTAGGATCAGTGAACGGACTCGAGAGGCTTAAGTGACATCCCGGGCACCTATACGGTGGATCCTGTGATAGAAATATGCACAGCTGCTGAGAATGTTGACTCGAGATCTAGATATGGATCGTGTATAGCTGATCGGATCTCTGAAGTCGCTCTCTGCGTCCATGGTGGGCGTTTGTGGATGTGTGGGGCCCGGCGCTGGGCCGGCCCATGCTTCGCAACGCATACCGTCGTCGCCTATCTGCATAAATTTACAATTATTCGTCCCATGAGGCTTCTGTAGAGACCCCATCGTCGTAGCCGACGGTCAGGACAATATGTTCCTGAACATCGAGCCCGCTCCCGAAGTCGAGAGCGCAGCCTGAACCTTGCGAATATCGATGGCGATGATCGGGATGATATCTATGATCCTGCGTGGAGTGTTTCCGGTGCTCCCCCCCGTCGCTGCATCATGCCTCGTGTTTTGCGGTCGCTGCAGTCCCATGAGTCGAGGGTATGTTCTTGATTTCGGATCAAGTGTTTTATCGAAGTTTTCGAGCCTGCAATTTGCAAGTGTTCGATCGGAGGCTGCTGCTTGGATGCACCCACGTTTGAGCAGGAAGACTAGATCAAGCCCTATATAGCAAGCGATGCATATGAGGATATGCCGATGTCGCCAGAAAAGGCGCTGGCACGCCGAGTCTCCAAAGTTTTGTTGGAGGCCCCCCCACCAAGTAGAGTCGGGATCCGGCTCGTAGGCCCGTTTTTTCCTGTCTCCAGGATATCCTCAACAGCTTCCTCACAGCAGATGCATCCACACTGCCAAAGATTCGGCAGAGAAAGGCCGGTCGGGATTTTTGTGAGTTCAGCTTCAAGCAGGGCACGGGTTTCATTGAGCCAGTTGAGCTAAAATGCAGGGTTTTACGGTATCGAGGTTTGAGATTTAAAGTTCTCTTTGCGTCAAGGTTGCTAGCTAGTTGCTATTATAGCTGTACATGACTGAAGCTTTTGTGCAGGAAATCCTGAAGATCGTGCCGGAGGGTGTGAGCAGCGCCGACATGGTGTGAGGGGGGTGGGGCTGGCATGCACGAGTACATTATTGTTGGCAGTCGTGAGACAATCAGCGTCGGTATTTCAATGATCCGTTTCAGGTGGAGCTTCACCTGGAGTTTTACATGGATTACCTGGCCAGCCTAGCGGGCAACATCCCCTTATACAGTGTGCATCAGGCGCACGCTTACACAGCAGCAAATAGCTAGATACAAAGTTGTGCGCCACACGAGGAAGTGATTATGGTCTTGGGCATGCGATACGCGATTTTGGGTCCCAAGCCCAAGCGCAAAGTCCTGCGAGTGCCTTTGCTCATATAAACGCATCGATCGTTACTGGGACTATCATTCCACGTATTCCTTGCATATTTCACAAAACCCGTATCCCAGGAATGGGCATCCCTTCAAGCGGCGACGATTCGAGCCGGAGCGATCCACGCTTTGACGTTGACACGTCGAAGCAAGGGAGCGAGGAGCCACATATAATTGTTATAGACCCGGAAGTCTTGCAATCGATATTAGGATCATCGCTGACAGGAGCCCGTCCATCATGGCCCTGAAGGATGTGGTCCGTGCAACGATCCAGACAGGCGCTCTAGCAGCAGTAGTACGTACTGGAAACAGCAAAAGCCCCACATGTTTCCACGATGATAAGTTTCTGAAATGCAAATAGCATGCATCATTAGGGGGACCGTCAGGCACTGAGAAACCGGAGGACCCGGACCTTGCCATCGAGGATGCTCTTGGTGCTGCAGAGGAAGACCAGGCATCTTCTGCCCCCAAACCCTAATATAACTTCATGATCATTTCTTCGACGGCAGAGATATGCTTGACGTGGGTGAAACAGAATAATGTTAATAAGATTTGTAAGGATTCGGGGGTGAAGGGTGTAGGGGCTGCAGGGGTTAAGGGTTCAGGGGTTGCAGGGGTTTAGGAATTTGGGCTGCGACAACTCGTAGGTCAGGACTTTCTCTTTTATAAACATATATCCTGATCAGCTAGTTAGTCGTCTGTACAGATCCGTATATAATTATATGCAATTCTGGGATCCATGTAGAGGCTCAGGGCTCGAGGATCCGGGTTTATAACAGGCATCCACAGAGGCACATACTTAAACTTCCGCACTCATCAGAGCTTGGCACCCGCATGGCCACGGCCAGGAAAGCCTGGCCAATTCTCTGGAGTCGATCGGCGATGAGGACTCTGATGTGTATATGGAGCTCGATGAGAAGGAATCCGATTTCGAATTGTGCAACACACATATAGATAACTATCTAGACGACTCCTGTCGGCCAGGAGGACTCGCAACTGCTTGTGCCGCCGGAGCAGGAGATATGGTCTTTAATAGCATGATTTTAAAGTCATGTATGTCGAACATGGACACGTATTTTCTAGAATATTAAGCATGCGTGTCAGGCGCCGACGCAGACCCGAGGAACGAATCCGATGCCGCCCCCAACTGTACCAGCAGTGCACTCGACTGCAATGTAATGGCACGTAGATCAAGATCTAGATCGATCGAGTTATATATCGAATTCGAGGTGCGGGCTGTCGTGGTGGACCCCAGTACAGTGGAGACACAGATGCCAATGGACATCGATGAGCCTTCGGGGAGACTGCCAGAAGACCGCCGACAAGCTGCCCAGGTGCCGCCTGGGATTGTATGGTGTCATGTCATGTATACGGTGTACATCAAACCGATCATGTGTATGATTAAGGAGTTCAAGCGGAACCCCATTGAGCCCTGTGAGCCGGCTGAGATCCCGCAAACCCTGGAAGATATGGTTTTGGCATCCCAGCCAATCCCTGCTGATGGTGATGTGGTGGAAGCCCAGCGCAAGGTTTCTAGGGTGCAAATTTGCATTATAATATTAAGCCGACGACCTATATAGCTAGTTAGTTCATTTAAGATGCTTGTTACATCTGAGGTTGCAGCAGCAGCCAAAGCGGCTGCTGCTGAGGCCAAGGCAAAAGCAGGCACACAGTCAGGGGCAGTGGTTTGCAGGGTTGCAAGTATACTGCCGCTGCCGGGTTGCTACCATGCATGTACAGGACCCAAAAGCAAAGCTAAAGCAAAAGGAAAATCGAAGGCAAAGGCAAAGGCGGCAGCACAGGCAGTCCAGGCTGACAACGAGGCTCCGGAAGGAGCCGCAGAGGAAGCACCCGCAGCTGCAGCGCCAGGGCTGGCCGCAGGGGGAGCAGCGCCTGTCCAGGTTTGGAGTTTCACAGTGCTTTATCTGAACATGAATTCGGTTCGAGAGTTGATGTGTTCGTGTATATGTGCATACAAGCTTGAACTTAAGCTGCCTTGAGGAGACACTCTTGCAAAAGGCAGGTGTGCCAGTGCCGGAAGGATTCACAGGTGAGGGGAAGAGTTTCACGGTCCCGGCGCCTGAAGACAGCGACGATGGCACCGGCAGTATCGGAATTCTGCCCCTAGCCATACCTTAATGTGCGATTGTAGCTGTGCGGCTTGCTAGCTTCGTGGTGAGTCCAGGGCCGGCTCGGCTTCTTTTTTTCATTTGGGCTCTAGCCGATTAATTCTGCTAGATGTGAGGTGGACGACAGACCAGCTGTATGTCAACAATGCCTTGACCAATTCGGCATTCGATCGCAGCTTCAATATTAACAAGAAAGGCGGAGTCACAATCTCGGTTCGCAAGCTGGGTACTGATTGGGCTCTGGCTTGGGCTACAGCTAAGAAGCTTGCAAAGTGGCCCGAGCAGAAGGAACGCTGCCCCTTGCCTAAATAATGTAGTGCCCACTTGGAGGCCCTTTTGACTTAGTAAGTCTACTTAGTATCCCCTAGAAACCCCATTATAATCCCCATAACCCACCTTACTAACCCTACTTACTAAGTCAAAAGGGCCTCCAAGCAGACCCCTACTTGATCAGATATCCCGTGATCCTGATTTTACAGCGTAGCCGGTTACAGGTTTGCATGGGCAATGGGACTTGGGACTTGATTGCTTGAGACTCGATCTTATGAACCCGAAGCTGGTGACTTTGGTGTTGACCCCATCCAAGTATATTTAATTGAAACCATAACTATATATATATATATAGAGAGAGAGAGATATATATATATATGTATTATTTAACTTCCACCGCCAACCCTCCAACGAGTCTAAACAAATATGGGATATATTGTTATTTTCGAACCTTGGACCTAAACACTCACCCTAACACGAACCCTATTCAAACACATAATTGGTTGTCGACCTAGTGAACCTGCCGCCCTACACCCATAGGCTATATGTAATATATATATATATATATATATATATATATATATGTTATGTAGGTTTAGGGTGTTAGGGGCTAGGATTTAGGATTTAGGTGGTGCTATTTTAGGTTTTTGCTGTTAATCTTCTTCTAATTGCGAAAACTTAGCGGCTTCGGGGTGAAGCACAAGGACCGCTGGATAGCTTAGAGACATTCTGAAGCACAGCCACTGTGTAATTGAAATTATTCGGCAGGTACTCTGTAAACCTCCACATCCCAAACCTAACACCCTGAACTTGCTCTCCGCCAGCCACTCTGAACCCTAATCCTCCATACCCCCAAACCTAACACCTTCAACTTTCGCCAGGAGCGATATTTCGATTGCCAAGATCCAGTTTTGATGCGGACGATCGCGATCAATGATTGTGCCACCTCAGATCGGCACTGACTGATGTGTTTGAACTTCCGCCGGGATGGGACCTAGAAGCTTGAAAGGGCTGTTGGGCCACGACGAAGAAAGGGCTTCATGCTACCTGGTGCGTGCTTCTAGATATCCGCACACGTGTGCATGCATGTGTCATGATCACGACTTGTACTGTGGAGCACACATGCCTGGTCCTGGGCACTAGCCAATATAGGTATACTTGCAATTGATGAGTGTCTTCTTGGAGGCCCTGTTGACTTAGTAAGTAGGGCTAGTAAGGTGGGTTATGGGGATTATAATATATAGGGTTTCTAGGGGATACTAAGTAGACTTACTAAGTCAACAGGGCCTCCAAGTTGAGTACGATTTTGCATAGAGAAATTCCAATGTCCTGGGGTCGAGACCTGTAGCTACAAAAGCCTGCTGGGCAACACGGTGGCCTTCCTAGAATTTTCTTTCTGAAAGCATGGCGCCTCCCCTGATTTCCTTTAATGGACAAAGATGTGCTGTGCTCCTCGCACTGGGAGCTCCGATCACTCTGCTGCTAGGCTGTCTGTTCAGTTTCAATATATGTACGAGATCTTGAACCCTGCAGCCCTTCGGGAATTCCAAATCCCTACAAGGCTTGCTGCCATTGACTACATCCTCCAGCTCAACATCCTTGGGCACTGGGATGTTGATGCACAGCCGTGGCGACGGGCCACTTGCAGCCGAAATATTAATGTAGAGATCGTGTATGAGCATGTATATTAGTGCAAGAATTCGAGCCCTTGTTGACTCCTCATGCTGTCGCTTATGGCATGTACATATTATAATAAGGACTATGCCATGGTCGAGCTGTTTAGCGGAAGCTGCCGGATGACCCATGCTTTCAGAGCCTTCGATCGAATCTATAGTACCACTGATGTGCGAGCTGTGTCGGCTGGCTAGATTTAAGGATCCAGAGGATACCGGGCGCAGCCTTACGACATCATGCTGGGTTCGGCTGACGGTTTGCGCTGCCATGATATTACCACGACAAGCGGCTTTCTGCACGCACTTCTCAGCATCATGAAAGTTAAAGAGAACGGCCTGGTATGGTGTGGTGTCCCATGTTCTTCGTGCCTCGTACACATATTGCTTGTTATGCTTTAGGGCGGCTAGGGTCAGCTCGAAGTTGGTCTTGAATACTGAGGTGGGTGTTTATGTCTAGCTCCATTCATCGCCGTGGCCAACCTAGATTTGGTGCTCGTGGCGACACGTCCCGCCGGCTGGTGGCTGTGGGAAATCTCATAGCCCAAAGGACTGTGCATAATATACTATGACCTACGCAGCATAGGTACATCGATCCTCGAACTGCCTCAATACCGATTCTTCCCAGCTCCGGATCAGTCTTGCTGCCGTCGAACGCAGGACGGTCCTGTTGTTGATGGTGGCAGTATGTCTCCAGGTTCACTTCATAGCTCCTTGGATGATCAGAGATGTACAGCACATACACATACATACGGGTGGGGACGGGAAGGTAAGTGGCACAAAGGTTGGGGTCTCTGGTTTCTCGGTCACAGGTTGTGCTCGAGGGAGGGACTGCAGTTCGATGTGTATATACAATGAATATACATCACATACGGCAATGTGCGTGTGCATTACGACTTATAACCTAGTACACGACCTAACCCTAAACACTAACCCCCCAAACCCTCAACCCGCATATAGAGCATTATAAGCCTAGTTTGCGTCCATGCCAAGATCGAACAGCCTGATGGCAGCTTCCTGCGCTACTACAAGTGTGTGGAGGCCCTCATGGCAATGGCCAATGCTCACCTCCGTAAGTTTTGGATGTCGACCTTTGGACACTGGACCCCGAAGCCAAGTTATGTACTGGGAACCCCGAAGCCTGGTTCGCAGTCATGCTCCCACTGGTTACTGCCTGTTAACCTGTAATTCCCTGGCGCTAGCACGTACTAAGGACGTATGTGTTCGACATCCCCAGCAACAAGCCACGAATTCGTAGACGAGCTGACCCTGTGGAGAGGAAGGTCAAACACGGCAAGAAGAAGGTGACTCTTAAGCTTGAATTATTATATTAGCCGGATCTGTACGATTGCAATCTCCACGAGTTGGCCAGATCGTGCTAGCCCTGGCTGTGCCCAGGACGGGTAAGCGACGCATGCTGAAAGTTTCCGGCCACTACCCGGTAAGCTTCTGCGAGTTCATTGCTGACAGCCACACTGAACACATTGCGACTCGGCACTGCAAGCCGGGCAGCGGTCTAGGGACATGTAGGTGCCCACCCGCTAGCAAATGCATGCATCCTCGTGTTTAGACAACATGTACACGTCTGGAATGTGAGACCGAAATGAACTCCGGACCTCAAACCCTATAAACTCTAAGCCGTAAGCCCCAAACCCCACAGCCCATGGCCAAAAAAAATCCAAACCGCACACGGCAGCAAAGAAGCCCCAAGTCCTACAGCCCAATTGCCACACCTTATTTAATTACAAGAACCTACTTCGACTTTTCAGGTGTAGGTCGATTGCTTGAGTTTAGAAGCCTTACAACTGAAAGCACCGAAGCCAAAGCTCTAAAACCCCCTAACCCTGAAAGAAGGCTTCCGGTAGTAGTATTAGTCGTCGTCGTAGTAGTAGTAGTAGTAGCTAGTAGTAGTAGTAGTAGTAGTAGTAGTAGTAGTAGTAGTAGTAGTAGTAGTAGTAGTAGTAGTAGTAGTAGTAGTATCACGTAGTAGTCTAGAGTAGTACAGTAGCAGGTAGCAGGTAGCAGGCAACGGTAGCAGGTGTAGTAGTACAGGTTGTTGTTGTGAGGGTAGTGGTGGTGGTGGTGGTGGTGGTGGTGGTGATTATAGTAGTGGCACTTCGGTGGTTGTGGTTATAGGAATTGGGGCCCCAACCCTAACACCGCCAAACCTGAACCTATATGGTCTGCAAGGCCTTAGCTGGAAAACACTCAGGACCTTAAAAAGCCTTGCTCAACGGCCGGAGGGTTTTTCCCTGATTCATCCCAAAAAAACAAAAACCTGTTGAGACGCCTAAGTCCCCTGCCACTCCAAGTAAACCCTACACCCTAAACCCTAAACCCTAAACCCACTCCCGCATCTCACCACAAATCAAACCCAGGATGCCCGCCCAGTGTGGGCACAGGTTGCTTACGCAGATGGGCGGTTCGGGGCTTTTGGGGTGCAGGTTGCTTACGCTGATGGGTGGTTGGGGTGACTGTGTGTTGGTTCCCTTTGACCGCGCCCACTTTCGCCCCACCTCTAAAGTTCCCCGGTGACCGTACCTTGTTCCCCGGTGTCCGGGCCGGTTTTCCTAGGCCCCAAACCCGGCTGATGCTCATGATGCTCGCGCCTGGTGGGGGCAGGTTGCTTACGCTCTTCGATTTGTGGGGCCTTTTATAGGGTGGGATGGGGTGGGGTGCTTGGCCCTTTGCTGCCGGGGGGTATCTATCATTGATCGGTATATATCTACCTACCTATTCTCTCTCTCTCTCTCTCTCTCTCTCTCTCTCTCTCTCTCTCTCTCTCTCTCTCTCTCCAGGCGGTCTCAAAGTCCACAAGGCAAGGGCAAGGAATACCAATATGAATACATTTAGGGATATTTGGTACCGCTATCTAGATATGTCCAAGATCCAGCTGAAGCCAAGGTTTCCGGTGCCAGTGCCCCTCCACTGCCGGAGCCATTACCTGATCGTCATGAGTTGGAGCCGTGGCTGCCGGGAGAAGTAGTACCATAGGGTGTATGTTTAATACTATATATAAGAGTAGATGGTACGTTCAACAGCAGTGTACCCTTAAGCCACGTAGCCACGTACTTCCGAGGACATGCACTTTGATTGGGGTGATGCGATGCTGTCCCCGATAACTGACTTTCTGATCAGCGAAGCACAGCAGCAGCGTTTCGATCCCCAGGCTTTCGTGCCGAATCTTCCAGTGCTAGTGCTGCTCCAGGAGGAAGCAGAGCGTTACAGGGCAAATTAGAGAATTTGCTATCGAATAATTCGAACAATTAGGATGCCTTCAAGATTCCAGGAGAAAATCGCACCAGGACAGGCTAGTGAGGCCTACCGATAGACATTTGAAGCCCTCCTACCTGGTTTCCCAGGGCCCCTTGGATCCCAGATGACGTGGAATCACGCGGAATCACGTGGCCTTGGCTGCAGCCAAGGCCGCGTGATTTCGCGTGATTTCGCGTGATCTCCATTGTTCCGCTGATCGGGTTCCTAATAGTAAATATATTAATGGCCACAAGACTCCGCGTGATTTCGCGTGATTTCGCGTGATCGCCAGTGCCCGTGCAGGCCTGTGAAAGCCCTATCAATCCGATCGTAGCATTTTTTATGCTTAAGTGCCTGGATTTCCTATCGATTTGGGCAGTGCCTGTCACCTGCCATGGCAAAAAAGGGTGAGGATGACTTGAAGAAGGCTCTTTGATGCTCTTTGCCCAGAATTCATGGATGCGTCACATTCGGAAAAGATGTTACCTAATAAGCTTGTTGTGCAGGCATCGCAGAAGGCACTAGATGCAGCGCGACGCAGGCAGCTGGCAGCTTCGGTTGCAAGCGTGGTTGCAAACCCCGACGGTGGCATGGTGGATGCAACTAACAAAAGAAGCCGCCAGCCCAAGACCCCCAGCACTGCGAACACCGAGACGCCCTCCTGCAAGACACCAGCCCCGAAGCATGCCAAAAACCTGGAAAGTCTAGGAGACACGCCTGCAGAAACTCCGACCCCGAGCAAGCAACTCTTCGCAACCCCTGGGCAAACTCCGGACCCGAACAAGCAGCTCTTCGCGACTCCATCGAAGATGCCGGCGAAGGGCGGCGCGGCTTAAAAACCTTGGATGTAGAACGACGACGATTATCCGAATCAGGGGCTTAGAGGTACCGGGTGGGGGCTTATGAGTGCGTGGGGTTTACATGTACTATGTGGGTATCGGGTTTGAGGATGTAGGCTAGGGTAGGAGAGCTCGACGAGGGTTTAGGGTAGATGGGGTTTTGGGGTATGTGAGGCCGGGGGCCTGAGGGATCCTGTTTCGGCGACCGATGGTTCAGGGGATTGCAAGGCTTAAAAGATTCGAAACCCCAAACCCCCAACCCTATAAAACCCTAATATACTTTAAGCTTAGGCTCCAGCGTGGACTCTCTCGAGATACCGACCCCGGATGTTGTCGCCCGAGCATCTTGATTCGATAGTGGATAATCTGCTATATAGTATTGCCAGCAGTACATGTACCCAGCAGGCGAGGCAGATGCACAATGATGCGATGGACTCATGTCCCGACACACAAGTGGACTTGGACGCGCAGATTGATCACCATCTCGCGAAGCTTAGCTTGGAGGACTGGGGAATCGGGTTCGGGATAATCTAGTGCAAGTGGGGCCCCACGCTTCCACTGATTTAATAGCTGGAGTTGAGATCTATCCGTTCGACTTTGAAGTGCAACCCGTCGCGAAGATCATAGCAGAAACTCCTAATCGTACCCGCAAACCAAAATCCTGACAATCCTGCTAAACAACCCTGACCCCACAACCCTTCTGATCTCTCAAATATCCATTTAAGGGTTTAGGGGTTTAGGGCTTAGGGGTTTAGGGTTCAGGGGTTAGGGGTTTAGGGGTTTAGGGGTTTAGGGGTTTAGGGGTTTAGGGTTTAGGGGTTTAGGGGTTTAGGGGTTAGGGGTTTAGGGGTTTAGGGGTTTAGGGGTTTAGGGGTTTAGGGGTTTAGGGTTTAGGGGTTAGGGGTTTAGGGGTTTAGGGGTTTAGGGTTTTGGGGTTTAGGGTTTAAACCCGACATTATTCTATATATGTGTCTCTCTCTGTCTCTCTCCCACTCTCTCTCCCTCCCTCCCTCTGCTTGTGTCTATTATTGAAATCTCGCCCTCCCTCCCTTGCGAGTCGCTCCGAGGATCTCGCTCTGTCCCTTTCACTCGCTCTAAAATGTGAACTCTCTTTCTCCCTCTCTCTCTACCTACCCACTAAACTCCCTATGCATATCATATACACACTATTAAATGATCTTTATATTTCGACCGGCCACAATAAAAAGACCCACCTACCGACTACCGACCTACGTAACTACCTACCCACCAACCTACCCGTCGTATATACATATATATTTATATATTATATATATATATATATATTCTTGTTCTGCCCAGCTCCAGGACGAGCCCGCCAAGACCGCCGACGCCCCGCAGCACTCCAGCAACCTCGGCTCGGGGAAGCCATCGTCTGTTGCTGATGATGCAGCACATGCACTCACGACACTGTGTGATGTGCTTCAGCAAAGCCCCAGTGAGATTCAGAAAGCTTTGCTACGCCCCGGAACTGTCGAGTTCGAGGCAATTGCTGCTGCAGTCAAGAGTGCCAAGCTTCAGGAAGCCCAAGCACAGCAACAGACCGGTACCGAAAATTCGAAAGGCAGCACACAAACTCAGGAGCTCGCAGCAAAACAGGTACCGGCTACTCAGGCCATGGACAGCTATCTAGATGGTGTGTATGGCAACAGCCATCGCTGTGACTCGAGGTCCCCTCCTGGAATGCGCCCGAATGCTGAGCCCAAGCCGACAGAAGCCTCGAACCAAGCACCACAGCAGAAGCCCAAGCCAGCAGAAGCCTCGGACCAAGCACCACAGCAGAAGCCCAAGCCGGCAGAAGCCTCGGACCAAGCACCACAGCAGAAGCCCAAGCCGGCAGAAGCCTCGGACCAAGCACGGCAGCAGAACAAGCCGGCAGAAGCCTCGGACCAAGCACCGCAGCAGAACAAGCCGACAGGAGCCTCGGACCAAGCACCGCAGCAGAAGCCGATCACAGAAGCCTCAATTCCTATGGATGTCGATGCCCCAGTCCTCTCCAATGCCGAGAAAGCACTGGAGCAAAAGCCGAATACCGAGCCCCAGCAGTCGATGCCTCCACCTTCCACTGTCCCTGTGAAGGCTACGCAAGCCACTCCTTCGAACCCACCTAGCAGTGCTCCCTCAACCCCTGGCCCCAGTGATGTTGAAGATGATCCTGAGCTATCGGCTCTTGCAGATATCATGCACCAGATGAAGGCATCTATATAGATCCGAATGCCCCAAACAATATTAATGTTAGCCCGTGCTTGCTGGCAGGAAGCCGCCCGAAAGACGCGGATGCGATTCTTGCGGTCTTTCGAAAGCACCTGACTGCACTGGGGGCCGGGGGGCTGGGGGTGCTGGTTTGATTTTACTTGAAACCCCACAACCCCAAATCTTAAATCACTTAGGCAAGAAGTGCCCACCGGCTATTCTCGAAGAGTGGCAGAGGGCCACGAACAATGGTGGACCGCGAGGTTTCTTGAGATGCATATATGGCATGCATATATGTTCGTCACTCATTCGAATGCACTTTACAGCTCGAATGTGTGGCCCTGTGAAACCAAGACTCGGCAGCGGTCGAGAGGATGTTTCGCGAATACATCATGTCGGATGAGTCTTGGGGGTGCTCGCGAGTGATTGCCGTGCAGAAAATCATCAGCCGGTACGAGGCCGAAGGTGTCTATGTCTGGATCAACAGACAGGACCAGCAAGTGTGCGCAAGCTGAAATCTCCTAGGCCCGAAACCTTACTAGTAATATTTCTGTTGACTCTCCGACTGCATGAACCCATATACCACTGAATTCCCAATAAGATTACACCGGACCCTTCAAACCTGGCCATTACTGGAGGAGATCGAAAAGAAGTACGGGCCGGAGGATGCTGCGCAACTGATTGTGGAGAAGGACACTCGCAGTTCTGTAAATGATAATGGTAATTCGCTCTAGGGTCGTGTCGTTTAATTGGTCAGGAAAAGGACTCGACGCAGTTCTGCGACAACCCCGACTTTCCTGGGGTAAAGGCCTGCTGGGGTATACTATACTGAATAGTCTAATCTTTATCTGTACATGTACAGGTTCATATGTATGCAGCATTGTATTAAGCTAATCTTCGCGACCCTAGTCTGCTGGTAATCACCACACATGCCTGATCGTGTGCATGTGTGTATATGTATACATGTATATATATATATATGTGTGTGTGACCCTTTAAATCCTAAACTACTCAACCCCAGTATTCTACTACGCTCCAGGCCAAGCGGATCTATCGCTGCTGGGAAAGCAGCACCGACCGGACCGTGGACTCCCGGGAGAGTTCGTTCACTTTCGAGCGGGAGGGGGATACTGATGGCTTCGGCGGTGTCATGGATACTGCTACAGCCGAGCAAAGCAAGGGCAAAGCAAAGGGAAAGGGCAAGAACAAGGGGAAAGGAAAAAATGAAGAGATCAAAGAAGTCAAAGCCAAGACAACAGATCAACTTGCCAAACAGGCGCCAGTACCAAAAAGTATATGTGTTAGATTGGGTGTGTACGGTCAGAATAATATAAGTATTAAGGCCTTACAAGCTTTAGGGGTTTAGAGTCTAAGGGTTTGGGCATTTAAACTAGTACTGGATTATACTGGATCTGGGAAGGCCATAAAGGCCGCCAACGATTCGCTCCTCGAGATAAAAAGCTACAAGCCGAAGCTCCTGCGAAACAAGGTGTACCTCGATTGCAGAATACATGCAATGCATGCTTGTTGTACCTAGCATTCAACATGTACATCGAAACCACATGCTTGTTGTACCTAGGGATGTCGAGTTGATCAAAGCTTTGTGTGACTCGATGACCCGCCACTCGGACCTCATCGCTGAGAACTTGAAAGAAATGGAGGACTGCTGGTAATCTGTTGCGATAAACTCCACCCTGTGATCCGTTATGTTGCGATAAGCTCGACCTGTGATTGTAGGACTCTTTTTCGAAGGGCATGGAAGGCTTGGAGCTCGAGGAACCCCTGGTGAAGTTGAACCACGCACTGTGCAACTTTAAGAGTGCCAACAAGCATGTGAAGATGCATCTTCAACCTCCAAAGCCTAAGAGCTCTGCGAAGGGAAAAGCCAAGGCAAAGGCCTCCTCGATGCAGTGATCGTAGGTCGCTGCGGCGCCAGGATTTCCTGGGATCCAGAAGTGTGGAGCACGGCTTGGATCCCAAATTTCAATCGGGCACAGAGCCCATGATTTTGGTTCGTCAAGACTCTGAAGTGGGGTGCTAGCCCGTGCGGCCACGATCAGGTCATATGATTTTCAATCCTGAGTGTGCTAAATTGAATATGCACCAGCTAGATACGATGTGGTGTGTGCCTGATGTCGGCCTGGGCTGTAGGAGCACTGTGAGCAAAAAACTACGCTGCAAGTGACACGTTCCGTCTGCATGTGCACTAGCTCTAGGTGCTATCTAGACCGGCCTCCCTCGCAGGCAACGCTGCATTTGCTGACCACCTTCTCAAAAGCTTGGGTACGGGTGCCGCTTGGGCTGCAGAATCGATCGCTCTGGGAGACTGGGAGACCTTTCTGGTGTTGCATTGGTATATAGGATCGAGAACTCGAACTTCGAAGCTAGCTAGCCAAACCAACCACCTGCCTTCGGCTGAACTGGAGTGCAGGCTCAACAAAATGGCGATAGGTAAATAATATTATATATATTATGTATACACATACTCGTAAAATGTTAATCATTGCCAAGAACTACATACCATATGTTGTGTGTAGTTGTAGTTTTTGCAATGTTTAACTGATATTAACATACGAGTTTGTTTTATCTTATACAGGGTGTGACTCAAGATTTGCTGTTCGAAGATAAAGGTTAAGCTGCTTTCCGGGTCAGGTTGGCGAGCTTAAGGTTATCAGCTATTTTCAGCTATGTAGTGGGTTTTTTTATCGGAGTCGTGGTTTCTGAGATGAACGTTAGTTTGCACTTATAGTGTATAGGGCTTTTCAGGGTGTCTATCTCAGCTAGGGTTCATACATCCCGTGCCCAGCTATCTACGTGTCACACAACCAGGCAGCTTCGGCAGTGGAGCTGCAGCAGAGTGCTGCGGCTATGATCGTGGAATCAGGGGGCTCGGCTAGTGCTTTAACGCATCGACTTGCTTCAGCTGGCTGCCGTGGACGCTATCCCAACAATGTCCCGCGCGACATAAACCGTGCTCTGCAACTGCCAGTGGTGTTTTGTCCAATCTTCCTAACAGTATTTGGGGACTTTACATATATATATATATATATATGTTTTCTTATCTAGATATATCTATAGAGCCTTCATCGACGAATTGCCACAATCAAGGACTTGCACTACTGCACGATCCCAGTTCGATCTGAATCGGACAGGAAAACCGAGACTGAAATGAGATCCCCGTTTATCATGCCCCACGAGCTGTATGCCTACTTGATGGTCGCTTGGTCTTTGCCTATATCTAGAAAACCTTACGAAGCCCAAACAAACCAAAACATACAAGTGCACCCTTAAAGTTCGAATGCTTTAAATGTAAATAATATAATATATGAAATGGGTCCTGTAAACTGCCCTCAGAAGTTATAACACAACAAGCCAAACCGCAAGTGAAGGATAACCCTGCAGGCTCAAAGCTTCAAAGCCACAAACCCTAAAACCAATAAACCCTGGAGCCCTCTCAACCCTAATACACCCTAAAACTTCGAACCCTGAAACTAACTCCAAATCCCAGCTAATGCTTGCAAGGATTCCGGAAAGATCCGTGTGACACCTGCGGAACTGGAGGACTACTGGGAGCATCTTGCTGCACGGGCTAGGGCGAACCAGCTGCCTATACCGACAGGGTATGACAAGCGGGCAGTTCCGCTGGGCATGTACGGCGACGATGCAAGATACAACACCTCGGGCTCGAAACTGCTGATGGTTACTGTGAACAGCATATTAGACACCCCCAGACGTGATGCAGCAGCAAATAGCAGTTTTAGCTTTTCTCTGATTGGTTCAATATATATGGCTGTAGGATTACTTGGAGGGTCGGGCGACTTAGTAACTGGATATTTTAGGGACTTATAAGTACCATAACCCCAATTAGGGGCCCTTTTAGGGTACTTGTAAATCTACTTAGTACTAAGTCCCCCGACCCTCCAAGTAAGCTAAAGGGCGCCAGAGATTTGCAGGAGGTGACATTGCTCGCTACCCTGTCTGGACCTTGCGTGAGTTCATATGCCTTGGAGCACGAACATGGAATCCCATCATGAGAATCCTCAGTTGGTCTTTCAACGATCCTAGCCTATTATTCAGATCATCAATTTAATTTATTCGAGTATAGTACGCTTTTTAGGTATACAGGTTGTTGCAAAGCCGGATTAGGGCAGATCCCCAACAGCAACAAACCTTGCCGAATCTCAGATCATCTACTTCGGAGTCTACCCGACCTTCAACCTGGACGGCGTTCGCCTTGCCGGAGCAGCTGCGAAAGTGGCAGGAACGAAGATGCCAGGTGCAGTGCCTCCAAATTCAAGGGTCGTCGTTTGGGAGCTTTCGATTTTCGAATTTCGATCTGGTTGTTTTTAAAGCTATAGATCCGCTAGAGTGAGATCATACGGTATACGCGGGGGCAGGAAAACCTGGCATTTTGCTGGAGCATCGTGGAGACTGGAAATATCAGAAAGAATTCTTTGGCTTTAGTGCTTTTTGGAACTGGAAGGTCAAGTACATGTGCCACATATGTCGGGCACAGAACAGCGGGCCAACTGCTTGGAGCCGCAGCTTGTGTTGCAGGTTCGATCGTCGTACAGACACCGATATCTTGCTGGATGTGATGCCTCGGCAGCTCAACCCGATATGTACTGTTATTGGGTTCAGCCCCAGCACTCAAATAAAGTGGTGTACTATGCATTGCATCAACCTGGGAGTCGCTCAAGTGGTTAACGGAAGTGCTCTGCAACTCCTTTGTGAACGATGTGCCTTATTTGCAATATCCCAAATCTACGTGTACTCGGAATCCGAACAAACCGAATCGTACTATTCGAAATTCGATCAGGCTATTGGGGCCAAGAGCTGTCAATTACAGCATCGCTACATTCGGCCTCTGTCGCCTTTCGGCAATGGGCTGCCCGCCACCGCATCGAGTGCCATCATGTCATGCTGGCATAGACTTTTCAACTATCATAAGTACGACTCAACTGGAACCTGCCAATCTATCATAGTAATTTATAAGATCTTACATTTACATGTGTCTTCAGGCACAACATCCCGTTCCTGCTCCCGGGCCACCTCCATGATTCGACAGTTGGAAACTACCCATGCCTCACTTTGAAGGCACACAGTGGCCGCATTTGGCTTGCTTACATGCATGAGTGCCTGTCCCGCGAGAAGAAAGCATCTGCCGATGATGTCGAAGTGCAAATGGCATACTTGGCTGTGCATCACTTGGCTACTTGGTTTCATGTCATGGAGACCAGTCCGAGGCGAAAGGTTACGCCGGAGCAAGCAGGCAAGATGATGGATGCCGGCATGCGCTTCCTGAAAGTGCATGAGCATTTGGTGTACTACGCAAGCCAGCACCACCTTTTGAGGTGGAAGGTCCTCCCCAAATTTCACGACCCTAGTCGACAACCTATCACCGTGTTTTTGCTGTATATTCTAAGTTCGGGTAAGATATCGATATGTCGAACAAGGTTCCATTCGAAGCAGACCGTCAAGCTGGTTTTGAGATTTTAATTTCGAATTCGGTGTGTGTGGAAAGGTACCGGTCAGATTAACAATATATGGTTTTCTTCGAATTCGGAACTCGTATGATCATGAAAGCACCGTCCCGGAGGCATTCCGACACATCCTGGAGGACTGCGAGATGTGGTTGGAGTCGCCGAGGGCGACGCACTGCTTTCGCGACGAGGACTTTATTGGGCAATGGAAAAAATTGGCCCAAGGATCTGGCAGCAACTCGATCGTGATTGTACGTTTTTTCCTTTTGGGGGGGTTGACACGAATTATAATAAGTTCAATCGGTGCCATCTCTAAGGCCGAGGAATGGAATACAGATTGTTGCTGCGATTCCTCATACGCCTAGGAGCTGTTGGCAAGTAGCAGAAGCCCTTGCGATTGCGTGTCTCGAGATCGAACACTGTGGCGTGCGAAAACCGTCGAGGCTTAAGGGATTCCGGGGTTCCACCTATAGAACCTATACGAGCCTCGAACTCGTTCGATCCCCAGCTGCTTCTGGAACATGTAATTCCTGAAACCGAAGCCCTTACCTACGCAAACCTTAAGCCCGTAAAGCTTTCAGTCTGGGGTGGTTTACACTAGCGAGACCGACAAGATTTGCCTCAAGCCTGACCGCCTGCTTTAACCCGTATAAACCCTATTAAACGAATTAGAGCGGTACCTTATAAGCCGGTACCTTATAAGCCCCTGTAAGCCCTAATAAACACATGGCTCGAAGTTGAAACAGGCATTAAGGTTTCATGCCTGTGCCGTGTGCTTTTGAAGCAGGTATGCCCACTTTAAACCCATATAAACCCTAAATTTGGTTCAAGATGGCTCAAGATTGAAATAAGCTCTTAACGTTTGATTCCTGAGTCGAGTGCTTTTGAAGCACGTTTATTACGCGCGCCAAACCCATATTCAATGAACAATGGAGTGTTCAGGGTTTTTGTCAACGTTGCCTGTAATTAGGGTCAAGTGCTACGAAAGTATGCACATCCACCAATGTTTGCGGCATTTGCGCACTTTGGATCTCCTGGGATCTAAATATGACAAGAAACCCCCAAAATAGTATGGGTAATTAAAGGCCCCTATCCAAAACCCTAAACCTTAAACCCTATAGATCCCTTATAGACCCCTCAAAGCAACCCTTAAGGATGCCTTTAAAGGTAGTGCAGGTAATTATGAAGGTCCCTAGAGTAGGAACGCAGTCAAACCTCTCAACCATCGAGGATTTCAGGTTTATTTGGTTTAGGGCTTTAAGTTTTCAGGGTTTTAGGGTTTTAGGGTTTAAGGTTTAGGGTTTAGGGTTTCGGGTTTAGGGTTTAGGGTTTAGGGTTTAGGGTTTAGGTTTTAGGGTTTAGGTTTTTAGGGTTTAGGGTTTGGGGGTTTAGGGTTTCGGGGTTAGAGGTTCTTATCATAAAGTGAAGTGTAAAACGGGTTCCTCACGGGCCACGGGAAAACTATACCATGCAGAACCCAAGAACTGCTCCAAAGCTGCTTGTTGCTTCGCAAGCCCTCAACTCTAAGCTGTCTGCTGCTTCGAAGGGAATGGGGGAATGGATCCGTATAGAAGTCCCTATATAACCCCCATTCGCTACTAGGAACCAGACAGTAAATCCCTAAACCGTAAACTGTAAACCTCAACCCTAAAACCACAAAACCCTGAACCCTAAACTCCAAAGAGATGAACTCCCACAAAGCCTCTCACTGAAGATTCCATTTACAAAGCGATCTCAGCTCCCTCTCCCGGCGCCGCGCGCACGAGAAGCCCTTCGGGAAGAGCACATTCGCAATTTGGCAGACCTTCGTTGTTTCAACCATAACAACACTAAACACGACGAACAGGGGCAATAGCAGCGGTGGTGGCAGCTGCAACAGAGGAAGTAGTAGTAGTAGTAGTAGTAGTAGTAGTAGTAGTAGTAGTAGTAGTAGTAGTAGTAGTAGTAGTAGTAGTGGTAGTAGTAGTAGTAGTAGTAGTAGTAGTAGTAGTAGTAGTAGTAATAGTAGTAATAGTAGTAATAGTAGTAGTAGTAGTAGTAGTAGTAGTAGTAGTAGTAGTAGTAGTAGTAGTAGTAGTAGTAGTAGTAGTAGTAGTAGTAGTAGTTTAGTAGTAGTAGTAGTAGTAGTAGTAGTAGTAGTAGTAGTAGTAGTAGTAGTAGTAGTAGTGGTTGTAGTAGTAGTAGTAGTAGTAGTAGTACTAGTGTAGTAGTAGTAGTAGTAGTAGTAGTAGTAGTAGTAGTAGTAGTAGTAGAAGATGTAGTAGTAGTAGTAGTAGTAGTAGTAGTAGTAGTAGTAGTAGTACTACTAGTAGTAGTAGTAGTAGTAGTAGTAGTAGTAGTAGTAGTAGTAGTAGTAGTATTAGTAGCAGTAGCAGTAGCAGTAGCAGTAGCAGTAGCAGTAGCAGTAGCAGTAGCAGTAGCAGTAGCAGTAGCAGTAGCAGTAGCAGTAGCAGTAGCAGTAGTAGTAGTAGTAGTAGTAGTAGTAGTAGTTGTTGTTGTAGTAGTAGGAGTAGTAGGAGTAGTAATAGTCGTAATTAGTGGTGGTAGTAGCGGTAGTAGTAGCAGTAGGATTAGGAGTAGGAGTAGCAGCAGCAGTAGCAGCAGCAGCTGCAGGAGCAGTTGAAGGAGCAGTAGCAGGAAACCCTAAACCCTAAACCCCAAATCCCAAAACCTAAACCCTAAATCCTGAAACCCTCAACTAGGCTCGAGAACCTGAGGTTGCTTCGAGGCCTTCAATGCTCTCAATGAGGAGCATGCCGTCTGTCGTCCGACGGAATGCGTTGGCAGGGGTGTTTGGGCGTTTGGAGACTTACCATGTATGATGTGCCACTATGCATGCGATCGGATCTTCACCGCCTTCTCAGGCGCCCGTTCGATCAACTCGACTTAAGTATCCAAAGCCTTCCGGTTCAGGGCGTAGGCCTGTAAACCCTCCTACTTGGAGGGTCGGGGGACTCAGTAAGTAGGAAATAAGTAGACTTATAAGTAGCCTAACAGGGAGCCTAGTTGGGGTTATGATGCTTATAAGTCTACTTACTACCTACTTACTAAGTCCCCCGACCCTCCAAGTAAACCCTGAACCCTGAATCCGAACCCTGAACCCTACTTTAAGGGTTCCTTAAAGGGCTCCTTAAAGGGATCTATAGGGTTCCTTAAAGAGATCTATGGGATTTAGGGTTTAGGGCCTACTTGGAGGGGCAGGGGACTTAGTAAGTAGGTTATAAGTAGAGTTGTAAGTACCCTAAATGAAGTTACCCCAGTTATAACCCTACCTATAAACGGCTTACTAAGTCCCCTGCCCCTCCAAGTAATCCCGAAACCCTTAAACTCAAAAATCCGGAAACTTCAAAAACGCCCCACTCCCACACCTTAAAAACCCTAAACCCTAAACCCTAAGGACGCCCAAAAGCTTCACAACGTGAAGCCCCTGGTTCTACGAGCCCCTGGAGACGATAATAGCCAAGCGTCCAGGGTTCCCTTTAAAGGGATCTATGGGGGTTCCTTTTAAAGGGATCTATAAGGGTCCTTTTAAGGGGATCTATAGGGTTTAGGGGTTTAGGGTTGTTTAGGTGGGTTTACAGTAGAAGCCAGAAAGTTGGAATATCATTATCGTAACCCCTTTAAGGTAAATTATAGGGGATCCTACCATTAACCCATAATCCAACTTTCTGGAGTTCCCTTTATACGATGATAAAACAACTCCTGAGGAGGTTCACACAAACAAAATTGAAACATACTTTACAAAACACGCATAAACCCGTTTAAAGCTCTTCGCAAACCGTCATAAAATGGGGGGGGCCTTAGACAAATGAATGGAATTTTGTAGTACATTATCGTGTATTGATACTCAGGAACCCTACGGGGTACCACCGGAAATTTTTCAGGCTTCTATACCGAACCTTACAACCTACAGAGACTCTTACAGGACCCTTGCAGTACGCCTTACAGAACCCTGGAACCCTTTGAAGGAAAACCTCACGAGTAATATGGCAATTATTCAGGCTTCTGGCCTTAAACCCCAAACCCCTAAACCCTAAAACCCCTAAACCCTAAAAACCCTAAAAACCCTAAACCCTAAAATCCCTAAACCCTAAAACCCTTAAGGCCCTAAAAACCCTAAACCCTTTTTAAAAAAATAATAAACCCTAAAAACCCCTGAACCCCTTAACTCCTCATCTTCGGATCCGGGGCACTTCCCCTCCTTGCGACTCCTTCTTGCAGAGCTCTTCCAGCTTACCCCTGGCCGCGGTTTACTTAGGGTTTAGGGGTTTAGGGGTTTAGGGTTTAGGGGTTTAGGGTTTAGAGTTTAGGGGTTAGGGCTTTAGGGTTTTAGGACGAAGCGGCTTCTAATGTTCTGGACTTAATGAGCGGGCTCAGCGAGTAGTGGCAACAGCAGCAGTCGCAGTAGCAGTAGCCGAAGAGGGAGACGTAGCCGCCGGCAGCCGCAGCAGCTGCAGTAGCAGTAGCACCAGCAGCAGCAGCAGCAGTAGCAGTCGTCGTCATCGGCATAGTTCTTGCTGTGAGTATGGTGGCGGGTGGCACAACATCTTAGTGGGACGTACCAGGTTACGGCTTCCTCCAGGGCTAGGCTTGGACCTGGCAATTTGCAACACACAAACCACGCAGAGACTCCAAAGTCTCCTGAGAAAAGTCCTTAAATCAGATTAGGGGTCCCATGATCATTTGAGGTATGTTCTTGAATTAAGGGATATTGGAGCCTCTGGGCACAAACCCATCTATGAACACCATGAAAGCCAGTAGTCCACAAGTCCTCCCGCAAGTCCTTCTAGCGTACTAAGGTTTAGGCTTTAGAGCAAAAACGAAACCACAAACATCCCATAACCTAAAGGGCGTGAACACAGACGCAGGGCCCTGCGCCTGACATGATTGTTTAGAAAGCCTGCATCTACGTATGTGTGTATATATATATATATATACATACAATTACACACATGTAACCAGTTGACCTTGCAGAGAATCCTCCAAATCATAGAACAAGGAAGGCATACAGAGGAACAACAAAGTGGTCTGAAATGGATCTATACAAATAGACAGTCGAATATGAAAGACAGACAAATAAATCTATACTTCGAACTATATAAACCCTGTGTATATATGTATGTATGCGCGAATGTGTATATACATATACGTAATTCTACAAACATGTATGAATTAAAATGTACTCACAATTACATATTATATTCTATTATATATGTATGGGAGTGTCCGAAAATAGGGGACCCTAATATGGTACCCTAAATAGTAGGATCCTTACTATAAGGACCCCAAAATAAGGTACCCCTATTTTCGGAAACTCCCATATATATATATATATATATATACATATATATATATATATATACCACATGTATATAAGCTGAGGCCGCAACTGCTCCAGCCCGGCTACCGAGAGCATCGCCTGGTGCTGCAAGCACGAGGGACGCCGGCGGGTGCAGGGTTTAGGGTGTCGGGTTTACTTAAAGGATCATCGGAGTTGTAACTAGGGCTATAAATAATGTAGCTGGGTGTATCATACATTATGATCCCAGTTGGGATGATTGTAACTGCACTTACTAAGTCTCATGAACCTCCAAGTAGGCCCTAAACCCTATAGATCCCTTTAAGGAACCCTATAGATCCCCTTAAGGAACACTATAGATCCCTTTAAGGAGCCTTTTAAGGAGCTCTTTACTAAGCCCCAAGAACCTCCAAGTAGGGTTTCGGGTGTAGGCTCGGGGGAGAACAAGGTTCAGGGCTTAGGGCTTCGGGTTCCTTTAAAGGGTACTATAGGGTTTAGGGTTCCTTTAGACTTCATTTAGGGTTTAGGGTATAGGGTTTAGGGTTCCTTTAGACTTCATTTAGGGTTTAGGGTATAGGGTTTAGGGTTCCTTTAAAGGGTATAGGGTTTAGAGCTTAGGGTTTCGTTTGATCGACAAGCCTTCAGCACTCGTGGAGTGTTATGAGAATTTTTTTGGGAGGGCTTAGGGTTTAGGGCTTAGGGTTTAGGGTTTGGGGCCTACTTGGAGGGCTTACGGTTTTTTTTGCACGACCTTTTTTCGGCTTCGCGGAATCCGGGAAGCGGTAATTCTGGTTTAGGGTTCAGGGCTTACGTACGAGCTTTTACAAGGCTTCAATCTGGGAGTCCAGGTTCCTTCTGGTGGGGTTTGCATGAGAAGGATCCATTCCGTTCGGGTCGGCCATAAACCCGACGCTTTAATACCCATAATATAGGGGCCTCGGTGAGTAGAACAGGATTTTGGGGATATATTCTAGTATAAACATCGCAAGGAACCCTGCCGAATAATATTGGTAATTATTTGAGGTTTAGGGTTTAAGGCTCAGGGTAGCCGTTAAAGGAACCCCAAATCTTCAAAGAAACCCGCAGCAAAGCTTTAGGGTTTGGAGTGTACTGGAGCCCCTAAAGTGAGCCTCACTTTTGAACCCCCATAAAGGGAACCCCTCAAGGAGCCCTTACAGGAGCCCCTAAATCAACCTTTTGAAGTAACCGGAGCCCCAAACCGTGAACCCTACTTTTACTTCCCGAGTAAGCCACCGAATTAAAGGTTAAACTTTCCGGCTACTACTAAACTATAAGAACCCATGTGTTTAACGTCTGGGTATTGGGAACTAAGCTAAACACTACGTGGTGCCTGCGGCCGGCTTTTCGCCGCTTCGGCCATGGCCGCACCGCGGATCTTCACGAGCTCCATCCCTGCAGCTTTATAGGTTCCTTTCGGGCTTCCTTTTTGGTTCAGGGTTTAGGGTGTAAGTTTATACAGGGTTTAGGGTTTAAGGGTTTAGGGTTTTTGTTGGTTAAGGGCTCCTTTGAAAGGATCTGTAAGGGTTCCTGTTAAGGGGCTCTATGGCTCAGGGGTTTAGGGCTTAGGGTTTAGGGATTCTTCTCGGGCCTTTAAGGTTTAGAGGTTCCCGTAAGCGTTCTCAAGGGGTTCCTTAAGGGTTTAGGGTAAAAAAGATTCAAAAGGGCTCAACCGGTTTAGGGTTCAGCGAAAAGCTCCATTCTTGCGGCTCCTAGGTAAGGGCTCCTTATGAAAGGGTGTAGGTGTCCTTTCTAGTCAGTGTTGAGATCTTATGGGGGATTGATGAGGGATCCACACCCTTGTTCAGAATGTTGGACCGGCGTTTCGGGAAGAGCCTTGCTAACTAACAGGATTTGGCGGTATGTAAGGAATTGATATTACCAACTGTTCTGACTTCTGTATGGAGGCCCTAAACCCTAAACCCTAAAACCCTAAAACCCTAAACCCCTAAAACCCTAAACCCCTAAACCCCTAAACCCTAAACCCCTAAACCCCTAAACCTCTAACCCCTAAAACCCTGAACCCCTAAACCCCTAAAGGCCCTAAACCCTAAACCCCTAAACCCTAAACCGTGAGGTCGGGCTTTCCGGCTTAAGGGGGTTTAGGGGCTTCGGGGTTGGTGAGTTTAGGGTTTGGAACTGGTGCTGTAGCAGTTTGTAGCCAGGTCCGTCGCAGGGCTCTAGGGATTTACTGCTGAGGGTTGAGGCATTCGGAGTCTTCCACTAAAAATCTACTCAGGTTCTTTATCATATCATAGAGCCTTTGAAAATTCGAGCTTTAAGGCCAACAACCTTTGACGGGATTTCGCTGACATGGGTTGGTGGCGAGCATCATCGTACTCCGCCCCGTACGGCACTACGACACCCTCGAGATCCACACATTGGCGTGTGCGGAAATAGGAGGGGGTGAAAAGTTAATAGAGGACCCTTAATAATTAGAGTAGGGTTTGGGGGCCCCATATACTATAATCATAATAAGAAACCCCCAGAATAGTATAGGTTATTGTTGAGGCCCACATATTAACCACTGTGTTGGCTTCGGGCTGGCTTCAATGGCCTCGCGTGCTTCGAGTTTGGGCTCAGGGAGCTGCAGAAGGGCTCCGGGTGTACAAGGAGCCTGATACCCCAAAGACAGAACAGGTTTACACCACCCGAGTCCAGTGTTCTTGCGTATGGCCGCTGTAGGGTAGGCCCTGCAGCTATTACTCCGAAAGTCCCTCTACCGAAAGCCCCCAACACCACCATCAAACGCCGAAGACTTGATATAGTGGTCTTCATGATTAAGATAGGGTGTCCGGGGTGCAAGATACGGTACTCATGCAGGGACTCTCAGGAAGTGTTAGTACTCCTGTAATATAAACCACCTACCCCCATGACGATGAAAACCTTACAAAAACCGAGCAAACCTGAAGCCCTTTCTGACAGATACGACCTCATGTAGGAAAGGCTGAGCACCTTCATGGACACATAACCCTAAACCCTAAAACCCTCAACCCCTAAACCCCTAAACCCTAAAAGGAACCTAAACTGAGCGCACCTGTTTCGAAGCTCAACCCAAAACCCTAAAAACCTAACCTGAGCACCTTCGAAACTGAAACCTAAAACCCTGAACCCTCAACCCTAAACCCTAAACCCTAAACCCCTAAACCCTAAACCCTAAACCCCTAAACCCTAAACCCTAAACCCCTAAACCCCTAAACCCCAAACCCTCAACCCTAAAAACCCTAAACTGAGCGCCTTCTTCGAAGCTGAAGACCCCCGCAGCACAGAGCGCCGTGTACTCACCAAGGGAGAGGCCTCCGCTGGCTCACGGGCATCGGAGAGTCAGGGCCTCTAAGGGGTTCCTTTAAGGGTTTAGGGTTTAGGGGTTTAGGGTTTAGGGTTTAGGGGTTTAGGGTTTAGGGTTTAGGGTTTAGGGGTTTAGGGGTTTAGGGTTTAGGGTTTAGGGTTTAGGGTTTAGGGGTTTAGGGGTTTAGGGTTTAGGGTTTAGGGGTTTAGGGTTTAGGATTTAGGGTTCAGGGTTGAGGCTTCAGGGTTTGGGATAGCGGTTTAGAAATTAGACCTTCTGTGAGGGTTTCTATTAGTACTGTCAGGGTTCCATGGTCCATACTAGGGCTCGGCTTAGGTTTACGCTTGCAGGATTTAGGAATTGGGGTTGAGGCTAGCTCTTGAGCCTCGGAAAGGTTTGAAGCGGTTGGGAATTGGGAATTAAGGGTTGGGGTTTATTGAGGCTCATGGCCGCGCAGCTGTAGAATTTATGGAATTCGAATTCGAGTCTTGAATGCTAACAAAAGCGCTAAACAATCAAAACAGTATGTAGGTACCCAATCAATAGTCTTGCTGAATATTCAAGCCTCTACATCAGGAGCCAGTAGCATGGGTTAGAAGGGGCCCCCACCCTGTAATAGTGACCATAAGGATTATATAGGATTATATTAGGGCCCTATTATATTCCTATTATACCACTATTAGCATAGGGCTTTGCAGCCTCTGTGGGTTCAAGCCTAATCCCTGAACCCGAGCCCCTAAATCCTAAGACTCCAATATCCCTTAGTTAAGGAATATACCTTAAGTTATAGTAGGATCCCTGATATGATTGAAGGAATATTCCACTATAAACTCTAAACCCCTAAACCCTAAACCCTGAATCCTAAACCCTAAACCGTGGAGCATAGTGCTTTGGGCGAAGGGCTTTAGGGACTTCCTAGACCCTAAAGTGCCCTAGGAAGAAAAAAGGGTGCCCTTGTTGGTTTAAAGGGGCTTATAGGGGAACCTGAACCCTAAAACAGGGGAATAAGGGCCTACTCTAGGTCCTAGCCCTAAACCCTAAACCCCGAAACCCCTAAACCCTGAATCCTATAAGGGCCTACTCTAAGTCTCAGCTTCAGGGCTTAGCATTTAGGGCTCAGGGTTTAGGGCTTAGAGTTTCGAGCTTAGGGCTTAGCGTTTAGGGCTTAAGGCTTAGGGTTTAGAGCTTAGGGGTTAGGGCTTAGGATTTAAGGGTTAGGATTTAAGGCTTAGGGTTTAGGATTTCGGGTCTAGGAGGGTTTAGGCCCTGAAATTTCTACACCCTCGAGGCCACCTTAAATCACAAGGTTGATAAGGGGCCTCCGTGGAGCGGCCCCATGGGGCCCAATGGGGCCTTATGGGCTCAATGGCTTTCCCATTTGCCCCCATTCCGCCCCATTGGGCCGCAACACGCCCGTTCGGCAAATGCAACCCACAGGGGTCCCCTCCACAGGGGCCCCCTATCAACCCTGTGATTAAAGGAACCCCTGAACCCGCAGCCTCCAAAACTCTCCACATTTCACCCGAAGCCCAAAAGACCCAAAGAAGACAACACCAAGCATAGAACCCTGATAAAAACCCTCACCACTCCCCCATAGCAACTCTGAACAAAGACTTCAAAAAAATGGCTCACAAAAGTTATTAAACACCTTGTGAAACCAGGCAAAAAGGAAAACCATTTATCAAAACCCACTCAAAAACCATTAGAATCACTTGAAACCTACTAAAACAACACGGAAACTCTAAACCACCGGAAAAACCACAGAAAACCATTGCAAAACATGCATAGTTGAAACCCTGACTATTTATAACCCCAATTACCAAGTCCCATGATCCTTTAACTATTTTAGACCCTAAGCCCTAAACCCCAAATCCCTAAACCCTAAACCCTAAATTATTTAGGCCCCTATTTTAAACCCAAACCTCGCCTGCCACCGCACCGGGCCGCTCAACAGCCTCTGCGTGCGTCTTGCGGAGCTTCTCGAGGCCTCCCCGGAGGGCTCTTAGGATTTAGGGTTCCTTTAAAGGGAACGATAAGGGTTCCATTAAGGCCTATAAGGGATCTATAGGGCTGAGGGTTCAGGGCTTTAGGGTTTTAGAGTGTTTTTGTTTTTGGGTTAGGGTTTAGAGTTCAGGGTGTAGGGCTTTAGGGCTTTTTTGTTTTGGGGGTTAGGGTTTAGAGTTTAGGGCTTTAGGGGTTTAGGGTTTTTTTGCTTTAGAGGTAAGGGTTTAGAGTTTAGGGCTTTAGGGTTTTAGGGCTTTTTTGTTTTAGAGGTTAGGGTTTAGGGTTTTAGGGTTGAGGGTTTAGGGTCGAGGGTTGATGGTTTAGGGTCGAGGGCGAGGGGTTTAGGGTTTGGGGTCGGGGGGTTTAGGGTTCAGGGATTAGGGGGTCGAGGGTTCGGAAAGGGGCTCCTGAACAGGTACCTTATACTAGGTTGGGCTTTTAAAGCATTTGAAAAATATTAGTAAATAAGATCCTCTTAAACCCAATAAGGGGAAATATAAAATGTCCCAAAGCCCTACCTAGTTTAGGGATTCATAGGTTTGTAGGATTGCTACCTAGACCCAAGAATAGCCTAGGAATAAAAAGGGTGCCCTTTTTGGTTTAAAGGGGCTTATAAGGGAACCTGAACCCCCAAAAAAGGGAATAAGGGCCTACTCTAGGTCCTAGCTACTGTGCTCAGGGAGGTTCCGGGTCCCCGAAAGAGAACTAGAATTGAATCTTACATTGGGTCGACGAGTCTAGGACAGCCCATACCTTGTCTTGTTAAACGGCTTATGGCCTAGGGTCGTATACTGATGCTCGAATTAAGGACACAATTTGGCAGCCCAAAAGCTGAGAACTGGAATTTTGTATGCTGCAGATTCCTCAGCTGAGCCTGCACTGCACTGCTGTCGCCACCATAGCCAGCACGTCCCCATGCCACGACCGATCCATCGCCAAGAATGGCAGCGAAAGCGTAGGGAGTGGCTTGGATCTGCTGGACATCTTTTAGCTGACCCTGCACTGCACTACTGTCACCACCATAGTCAGCATTACCCCAGGTCACGACCGATCCACTGCGAAGTATTGCAGCAAAAGCATAGTCAGTGGCCTGGATCTGCTGCACATTCTTCAGCTGATCCCGCACCGCAGTAATGTCACCACCATGGCCAGCAACACCCCAGGCCACTACAGATCTGTCGCCCAGAACGGCTGCAAAAGCACCATTAGAGGGTTGAATCTCCTGCACTTTCACCAGCTGATGCTGCACAGCCTCACCATCACCACCAAGCCCAGGATAACCCCAGATCACGACAGATCCATCACCAAGAATGGCAGCAAAAGCAAATACATTGGCCTGGATCTGCTTCACATTCTGTAGCTGATCCTGCACGGCGCTACTGTTCCCGCCATGGTCAGCATTACCCCAGGTCACGACTGCTCCACTGCTAAGTATGGCAGCAAAAGCGCTGGCAGTGGCCTGGATCTGCTGCACATTTTTCAGCTGACCCTGCACTGTGCTGCTGTCACCACCATGTTCAGTATCACCCCAAGTGGCGACCGATCCATGGCCAAGAATGGCAGCGAAAGCTCCGGTAGAGGCTTGGATCTGCTGCACGTCCTGCAGGTGATGCTGCACATGAGTACTGTCACCACCATAGTCAGCATCACCCCATGTCACGACCGATCCATCCACAAGAACGGCAGCTAAAGCGCAGTGAGTGGCTTGAACATGCTGCACATTGTTCAGAAGATCCTGCACAGCACTGCTGTCGCCACCATGGTCAGCATGACCCCACGTCACAACTGATCCATCGCCAAGAACGGCAGCAAAAGCGTCGGAAGTGGCTTGGATTTGCTGCACGTTCTGCAACTGCTGCTGGACATGAGAGCTGTAACCACCACGGTGAGGATGACCCCAAGTCACGACGGATCCATCGCCAAGAATGGCAGCAAAAGCGCTGTCAGTCGCTTGAATCTGCTCCACATTCTTGAGATGATCCTGCACAGCACGACTGTCCCCACCATGAAACGGAAAGCCCCAGGTCACCACAGACCCATCGCCAAGAACAGCAGCCAGAGCGCCACGAGTGCGCTGCAGTTGAATCTTGTTTATATGCAGGGTCAGCGAAGCACCGTTTAATACCTCTCTTGTTCAATAACAGGACCACCACAAAAGCTACAACTTTCAAAGGTAAACCAAAAAAATACATATATATATATATATATAGCCAAAAAGCTTAAAGTCCTCCCATTGACTAAGTAAGATACCCTGGCTCGCTTGATCGGCAAACCTGCATCCAAAACACTTCCGGATGAGTCCACCAGGCGTCCCCTTCCGACTCCAAGTGCGGCCTCTGCCCTGCATTTTAATGTTGCAACGCTTTCATCACAGCCTGCTTGCAGAGTGGCTGTCCTGCCACTTAGCAACCCAACTTCCACGGTGATCGACATGAGCCCTATATAAAGACTGAGCCGGAAATGACAAAATCGCAGGCAGCTGTGCATGACTACCCTGAACCCTAAACCCTAAACCCCTAAACCCTAACCCCTAAACCCCTGACCCCTAAACCCTAAACCCCTAAACCCTAAACCCTAAACCCCCTAAACCCCAAACCCTAACCCCTAAACCCCTAAACCCTAAAGATCCCGAAGGATGAAAAGGAAAGGTAGAACCCGCTAAGACCGGTCACAAACACAGTTCCTTTAAGGGTTTAGGAATTAGGTTTAGGGTCTACTTAGGGATCCACAAGGGGTTTATAGGGATTCCTTTAATAAGGGTACTATAATGGCTATGGGTTCTATAGCAAGGTTCCCTTTTAAGGGTTCCTTTGAGGGTTTAGGGTTTGGGCTGTAGGGGCTGATCCTAACCCATCTCGCTATGGTAGTCCCTTTCTGTGAAGGTTCTAACTTCCTACGTCCTTCAAAGGGGTCCCATGCTAAACCCATGTAATTCGGTTTGCGGTTTAGGGTTATATTACCCAGTATTGTTACTCCTACAGTACCCGTTGAGAGGAACCCCCGCAAAGGAACACTCTTCTTTTTGTTTTCTCAGATCCTTTCAAACTATCTGGGAAAGCCTGAAGCAAGGCTTACGGTCTAGGTTTAAGTCTTACAGGGTGTTAAGTGTTCAGGGCTTAGGGTTTGGGGTTTGAATGAGGATCTTCTAACGTTTTGTACATAGAAGCTCTGCTTCATCACCCTACTTGATATTTAGAAAAGCAATCCTAACCATAACAACGGCTTCTCAAAAAGAACTGCTAGGAAGGGACAAACGAGAACGAGCGAACACATCCGACACTCATGGGAGAACGGAAACTAGACTTTGGACTGTACGGCGCCCCTGGCCCTAGACTCCGTAAACCTAGATCGGAAACTTGCAAACTGTCTTGCAATGTGTTCCTTCGTGGTTTAGGAGGGTCGCGGCGTACGAGACATATGGAATCCGGACATGGGGGAGCACTTAAGTTGTGTAGCCGTAGGGGCCTAAATAAGCAGGTGTAAGGTTGCGGCAAATCTTCGAACCCTGAATCCCCATCAAATGCCACAAGCATCGCCGAAGCACAAAAAAATAGAGCCATAAACAGCGGTCGATAGCCTGTGCATCTCAAGAGGTTCTGGAGCATACTGTAGCATAACTAGCTCTGATGAGGAGCCTAAATGATAGTATGAGTAACTGCTCAAGCTTCTATCTTGATCGAAAAGCCTTATGTGGCCCTCTAGAGTCCCTCCAGATCTCTATGAAGCCCTATCATGACCAACACAGCAGATGTCGACCGCGAGGTCTTTAACACACCACCCACCCTGAAGTCTGACTGCAGACTAATTAACCCTTAAACTGAAACTCTAAAGCCTCAACCCTAAAACCTTAAGTAAACAATGAACCCGACGTCCTATAATATTAAAAACTCTCGAAACTCCACAAACCACATAAAGCCTAAAAGCCCTATAAACCCCGACAGCCCCAAACCCTAAACGCTGAACCCCTAAACCACTGAACCCCGACCCCTAAACCTTAAACCCCCGAACTCTAAACCCTAAACCCCAACCTTAAACCCTAAACCCCCAACCCTAAACCTTAAACGCCCGACCGTGCCTGCCATGCCTGCCAGGAACATGGCCGGCTGGCACACCTAGGTCTACCGCGACGGCTCAGAGAGACAGGTTACTCTGAAGGGTTCTATAACGGTTCCTTTAACTGTTCTGTAAGGGTTCCTCTAAGGGTTTAGGGTTTAGGGTTAGATCCCTTCATGGGGGGTTCTGTAAAGTACCCTTAGTAGTATAGGGCCCCAAATTAGGGGATCTACTTTCTAGATCCTCCCGGGGTCTGGGTAAGGGTTCCTCGAAGGGTTTCCGGTTTAGGGGCATGTGACCCCAAACCCTACAAAATACCAGGCTATGACCCCCTAATTAGAGGGCGAACCCTCAAAACGGCAGGTTTTTGGATCCCAATGCCTAAACCCTAAACCCTAAAACCCTATAGATCCCTCATAGGAACCCTTAAAGGAGCCCTGGTAGAACCCTCAAAACGGCAGGTTTTTGGATCTAGGGTTTCGGGCTTTGGGTTCCTATAAAAGTTCTGCTACATTCGCTGGGCCACGGCTGGACCCTACCAAGACCCCAAAGGAAACCCGAATCAAAACCCAACGAAACCGTACAAAACAGCAAAAACCATATATATATATATATGAACAATATAAAACCTGAAAAAATCAGTGTAAACAAATTACAATTAAAGATCCAAAAACAACCTGTAAAACACCCTGTAAAAGCCCTGTAACACCCACAAACCCGGACCCGTCCCCAAATCCGAGCTGGTCACGCTAGTCTCCTCTAGCTTCTCCTCGGGCCCGTTCAGGCACACCTGCGGGTGGTTATACTACTAAGGGTACTTTATAGGAGCCCCATTAAGGGATCTACTTTTTGGATCCTCCCGGGGGTCTGCGTATAAGGGTACTATCGGGGTTCTATGGTTCATAGGATGTTGTAAATACAGGTTAAGGCCCCTTAATTGGGGTGGTATGTCATACTCCATATGGCTACCTTATTTATAACACTGATCACCAAGTCCCATGATCCTTTAAGTAAACCCTAAACCCTTATCGGGAACCCTATGATAGAACCCTACAGCACCCCTTAGAAGAGTCGAAGTGAGCGATAGCTCCCAAAGAGCCTCCAAAACCTTAAACCCCAAACCCCTGCACCCTAAGCCCTAAACCCTTTAAACCCATCTTTCCCTGGCCGACTTCCGAACCCCTCCGAAAAGTTGAACGTCTAGCCTCCTTATTATAGTTCATATAGAAACCCAAAAAGTTAAAGTCTTAAGAGCCAACCAGAAGAACGCCAAGAACCCAAAAGCCGACTCCCACAGAGCCTCGAGGATATCGAAGCCAAGCACTGACCGAGCCGTGGCGATCATCTCCTTGACCTTTACGTCCTCCTTGAAGAAGGTAAGGTCTAGGGTTACGTTTTAAGGGGTAATTTATGGGGGTCCCTCAGGGGTACCGTGAAGGGGTAAGGCTTAGGGTTCCCTTTAAGCCTACCTATAAGGGGGCTTCTAGTGGAGTTAGGGCGTGGGTTGGGTTTAGGGTTCAGGCGGGCCTGGTCATTGTGTGTATTGTACCGCTCCCAGCATGAGTTGCTACTTGGAGGATCAGGGGACTTAGTAAGTAAGGTTATAAGTCCCCTAATTAGGGTTATAAGTAGTTACAAGTATAGTTACCTTATTTATAACCCTAGTTACTAAGTCCCCTGATCCTTTAAGTAGGGGCCGACTGCGTCGCCAGAGTGGAACGTGCTCGTCGATCTTGTCCTTCGGAGGTGGTGCCTCATCGACGCTGGCCTTCTTCGGAGGCGGTGTCGTCGCAAGGCCTTCGGAGGCGGTGTCGTCGCAACCCCCTTCGGAGGCAGTGTCCGGTAAGGACTACGCTGCGGGTCGGCTTTTTTACACTTTTCAGGGCGAATTTCGCACAAAAGGACAAGGCCTTCGGAGGCGGTGCCATCGATGCGGACGCCGCGCTCTCGCTTGGACTGCTGTTGTCGTGGCAGTTTTGCAACCGAGAAAGGAGGAGGGGTGTCCGGTGCCTGCGCGTCCGCATTCACGCCTTGTTAGGCTTGGGGCGAGATTTAAGGTATATTCCCTGATTCCCGTACAGAACCCTTAGAGCTTTAGAAGGAACACTTTAAGGAACCCCAAGGTATATTCCTCAACTGAGGGATATTGGAGTCTCTGGGTACGGGCTGCGGAGTGTTAGTCTCAGGTTCTGGGTGTCATGCGCTCTTTCTTGCTTCATTTTCGGGTTCAGGGTTTAGTGTTAAGGGTTTAGGGTTCAGGGTTCAAGGCACCCTACATCCTAACACTAAACCGTTGCAACATAGACGGTGAGGACTGCTTCCCAGGAAATTCGAGTAGACACCATTGCACCAGAAGATCTGGAATTACTCTCCAGGGTTTAGGGTTTAGGGCCCCGGATTTGAGGTTCTGGGTTTGGGCATTAGGATTTAAGGTTAGGTCTAGGTTTAGGATTAAAGTTAGTTGAGGGTTTAGGCTGGACAAGTTGCTACCCAGGACTGGAAAGCAGCGGGTTCCTCTACTTAAGATCCGTCTACCAAGACGATGGGGGCCCTAAATCCTAAACCCTAAATCGGGTTTAGAGATGAGCACAAACCCTAAACCCTAAATCCCAAACCCTACTCCTAAATCCTAAACCCTGAACCCTAAATCCGAAACCCTAAACCCTAAACCCTAAACCCTGAACCCTAATTCCCAAACCCTAAACCGTGTTTAGGGATGAGCACAAACCCTAAACCCCTAAAAGCCCAGACGTGTGAGGAGCCCCCAGAACTAACCAGCGACCTGAAGAGGAGCCTTGGGAGCTCTTGAGCTTTGGGGCCCTGGTTTAGGGTTTGCGGGGTTGAGGATTTAGAGCTTAGGGTTTAGAGTTTGGGGTTTAGAGTTTAGGGTTTAGGGTTTAGAGTTTAGGGTTTAGGGTTTAGGGGGTTTGGGGTTTAGAGCTTAGGGTTTAGGGGGTTTGGGGTTTAGAGCTTAGGGTTTAGAGTTTGGGGTTTGGGGTTTAGGGTTTAGGGGGTAGAGGGTTTAAGGTTTGGAGTTTAGAGTTTAGGGTTTAGGGTTCAGGGTTTAGGGTTTAGGTTTAGGGGGTTTAGTGTATGGGCTTAAGGGCTTGTTTGGTGCCTAAATACTAGTCCCTAACCGCAAAGTTAGGTAAGGTTTCGGGTTTGGAGTTCAAGGACGGCGTGAAACAGGGCAAGACTGAAAAGTGCACGTTCTGGCTTAGCGTGGGCTCCTCTTGCTAATTGGAGAACCATGAGACTTGGTAACTCATGATACAACTACTTAAATGGGATTACAGCCAGTCATAAGTATGGTTGCCTTGTTTATAACCCCAGTGACTACTTAGATTAAATTCCTTGACAAGAACCAGATAATGACCTCCTAAGGGAAGCCGTCACATGTCATTTGAAGGGAGCTCATAAGATCTTAACGCTTCCAAAGGGCTTTCGCGTGGAACAGCCTAAGAAGGGTTTTGAAGGTGTAAACCGTAACTTTAGCTTAGAGGCTCCTTGTGCCTTGTGGCCTGTAGGGTTTTACTTTCTACCCCAATAAGCCACAGAAATAACAAGTTAAACTTTTGGTTCCTACTGATTGTTACTAATTACTAATTAAAGTAAAAGAGCCCCCAAAACTTAAAGGTTAAGTGTTGGATATCTAAGTTTTAAGAGCCTCGGCGAGGGTTCCACCCTAAACCCGAAAACCGAAACCCTAAACTTAACCCCCCCCCCCCCGGCCCCCGGCCCCCACATCGTAAACCCAAAAACCCTCCACCGAAAACCCTCCTAACCTTTACCCTTAGCTCGCAGAAATCCAATGAAGGACATGGGAGCTTCCGAAAATCGGGGACCCTAATATAGTATCCTAAATAGTAGGCTCTTTATCATAACAACCACAAACTAAGGTACACCTAATTTTTCGGAAACTCCCACATGTTCGAAGCAATCACATAGATAGACAGAACCCTAAAGCGGCGGGCTTCTTGGGATCCAGGTAAGGCTGTGGGCCTGAACCCGACATCATTCCAGGGGCTTTAGGGTTTAGGGTCTTGTAAACACACCTTAAAACACCAAAAACCAATGCTTTGCAGTGTCCCGATAAATTCTGCATTGGGCTTACTAGAAGAGCGGACGCAAAAAGTGGGGTCTTGGTAGTTTTAGGTGTATTTCAACACCTAAGCCCTACCTAGGGTAACCAAGGTACCTGACAAAAGGACATGCACCTGTCCTTTAGGGTCAAGCCCTCTTTTCGAATAAAATTGAATGCCCTAAACCCTAAACCCTAAACCGTATAAGGACCCTAAACCCTACAAAAGCCCCTACTACCCCAATAAGCCACAGAAATAAAGGGTTAAACTTTCCGATCCCTACTAAGTTATAAGAGCCCAAAAAGTTTGGCGGTCAGGTATTGGGGATCTAAGTTAAGATCCCTCAGAGGAACCCTTATAGATCCCTTTAAAGGAACCCTATAGAACCCCTATAGAACCTAAGGATCCCTTTAAAGAGCCTAGTCCCGAAGCCTAGCGCTAACAAAACCCCAGAAAGCTCTGCCTTGAGCCCGTCCAGCATCTTCACGTACTGCGACCCCTGCCCTGGTGTACTTGGAAGGGCAGGGGACTTAGTAACTACAGTTATAAGTACCTTAACTGGGGTCACAACTAATTATAAGTATAGTTACAGTAATGAAAACCCTTGTTACTAAGTCCCATGAATCTTTAAGTAGGATTCTTCCGTGAGGGGATCAAAAAGCATGTCTATAAGTGTGCTGTAAGGGCTCATTTCAGGGATCTATAAGGGTTTCTATAGGGTTTCTAGAAGGGTACTATAAGGGCTCTCCAGGGTTTAGGAAGATATAAGCTTCCTTCAATAAGGTGTCTATGAGGATTTAGGGCTCCTCTAAAGGGGTTCAAAAAAGGATCTCTAAGGGCAAAGGTCTACGGTTTTAGGGTTTGGGGTTTGGGATTCAGGGTTCCTTTAAGGGTTCCTTTAAACGGTTCTTTAAGGTTTCTACAGAGGGATGTTAAGGGGTTTGGGGTTTGGGCTTCAGTTGCATAGAGGGGATGGGGTTGGGGACCTTAGGGCCCCCTTTGAAGGAAGCCCTAACCCTGGAGAGCCCTTAAGGAACCCTATAACTATAGTAACCCCACCCCCATGATACCCCCTATAGTAATCCTTATAGACCCCTTTAAAAGGAGGGCTTAAAGGAACTCTCTGGAGCTTCTCTTACTAAAGGCATTTCTAAAGCCAGAGCTTCCAAAATCCCTAAATAAGTAATATTCCGGATAATTATAACAGGATCCCTAATCTGATTTTTCCTGCATATTCCTGAATTCAGGGATTTTGGAAGGTCCGGGAAGCTTCGATGAAGTCTTTCGGGCTTGGAGAGGTTGCAGGGCTCAGGTTTCCGACTTTTGGGTTTCCAGATTCCCAAAGGCTCACTGTACCTTTTAAAGGGATCTATAGGGGTTCCTTAAAGGGATCTTTAGGGTTTAGGGTTTAGGGTCTACTTAGAGGTTCATGGGACTTAGTAACTAGGGTTATAAGGGGCTCCTTTTAAGGGTACTATAGAGTTCTATAATGGGGTTCCCTTTAAGGGTTTAGGGTTTAGGGTCTACTTGAAGGTTCATGGGACTTAGTAACTAGGGTTATAATTACGGTAACTACGCTTATATGTACTTATAATCCTAATCAGGATACTTATAACTGTACTTACTAAGTCCCATGAACCTCCAAGTAGTCGACATACTTGGAGGGTCGGGGGACTTAGTAACTGGTTATGTTAGGGACTTATAAGTACCATAACCCCAATTAGGGTCCCTTTACGGTACTTATAAGTCTACATACTACCTACTTACTAAGTCCCCCGACCCTCCAAGTAGGCATTACAGAGGTCCCTATACTTTAAGGCCTAAGTATATACTATATGGCTACATGGAGCCTTAGGGATTGAGTCCGTTGAAAGCTGCTACGGCGTCATGACGGAAGGAAGACAAGGTTCATGGTTTAGGGCTGAGGGTTTAGGGCTTGGGATTTAGAGTTTAGGGTTTAGGGTTTAGAGTTTAGGGAAGTTTAGGGTTTAGGGCTTAGGGCTTAGGGTTTGGGGTTGAGGTTTTTATGTTTACAGGCGGAACAGCCTGAATGCAGACGCATATTTTCTTGAGCCAATGAACGACAGTAGGTGCAGGTGACTAGCTACATCTTCCACAAAATACACCCCCCGCGCATCTTAGTGCAACGGTTGAGGCGAAGGCGATGGAAGGAAAGACTAGTCACTAGACCGTCGTGAGCATATCACTTTGTGACAGCGAAAACAACTTGCAACAAAAGCAAATTATGCGGCCGATGTTTTGCGCCCTGTGCTGTTTGTACGAGAAGGTTAGCTACCAACCCGTTAGGGCGGTGCCGACGCTTAAATCTCACTTCACTACTAACCAGACGGCATCTAAATGTCTCAGAATACCATCCCGTTAGGGAGGTGATCAAGCTCGGCACAATGGGCCGTCGATCAGATGACCTCAGTAGATGCGGTCACGGCGGTTGGTCCTGTAGTTGTAGACCTCATGGACCCATCCTGACAAGAACCATTGGGCATGAGAGGTGTCCAGAATCGTGAAGCCATGTGGGTTGCCATGAGTAGGAATGGCATTCACGACTGAAGTAGGCTGGATGTAGTCTTCGGTCATCGCAGCGAACACCGCCCATTGGTACATGTCAACGCGGTGCCAATCCATTCGCCTGGCAAGCGAAGGATCGATGATGTTGCCGGAAAGATCGTTCCCCAACACGAAGTTTGAGTACAACAATCCTGCGACCCTGAGCTGCTCAAAGAAGTTGACAACAGTCTCACGCATCCGGACCTGTCGGTCGGGGACATCTCTCGTCTCGAAGAACACGCCGAAGGTCGGTGGATCATGGGGTCGCCGGCGGTAGGTTTCGGACCATTCGCGCCTTGTGCCAAGATCAACAGCAGAGGACGGTGTCTCGCTCACTGTTCCATCCATAGTGGTATCGGGAGCAACCGTTTCCGGTGCTGGACTGCTGAAGCCTGTACCAGCACGCATTGCATCCCAATCCGCGTCACTGATGTAGCTGGACGGATCACGTGCCACACGCCTGGGCGGCGGCATCGCAGGCTCCCGAGGGGTGCGATCGGTGGATGAGCCCGCTCCATCTCCAGGGTTGGTCCGGATGTGGACCTCGGTCGGACGATGTCTGGCGATCGGGGACCTTGTGCGATTGCGCTCTGCTGTACCCGATGCACGCTCGTCAGAGCTGCGACCTCGTCGTGCAGGAGATGCCGGAGGCTCAGGTGGGCGACGTTCGGACGCGGGTGCCGAAGTGGTCAACCTCACGTGGCCGCTCTCACCGATGCGCTTGTCCATGTAGTACTGCTGGTACCGACGATAGTAAGGGGTATTGGCCAGCAACTCGTTGAGCTGACGTTTGCCAAGTCCCTGTGCCTCAGCGGGTACCTGCAGGTCTCCCTGGGTGCGAAGAGAAGGATTTGTCTTCTCGATCCTTGTCCGGCTCAGCGGCAGTTGTGCCTTGAAGAAAGTAGCCAGCTCGGCCATGATCGGCAAGATTTCATTCTGCACGACGATGTATTTCTCCCCATCGTACTGCAGGATGGAAAACTCATGCTGGTTCGACTTCACAGCCTTGATGAGAACTGCAATCTCATTGATGGTGTAAAACCGATCATGAAAACAAATCAGACACTCCGTGAGGAGGTCGATCTCAAGCTGGCCTGTCACCCAGAGGAGGGCAACCTTTCCAGTGGCATCATAGTAGGTGGACGAACCATGCCCTTTTCCTTTGCCCTGAGGATCAGGAAGCCTCACGTTAGCGAAGCGTTGCAGCGCCTCGACAGTGTGAAAGCTGAGACCCATTTTGGCGTAGTTGTGAGCAGTGATGGGGTCCACACTGTATTGCCCCTGCGGAGTGGTGTTGTGGAGCTTCTCCGCTCTCTTCTGCTGATTGAGGACCTTCTGGCGGATGCCAGACGCTGTGCTTTGGATTCGTTCCCTTTCTTCTGGCCCTTGAATCTTCACACGCGCGTGCTTGAGCCCCGAGGATGGCTGCAAGTCAATGATGTTGACCTGCCTGCCCTCTCGGGCGGCGCTTCGCCGGAGTCTGTCGGGCTCGGCGATAATCGCAAGGTCGGTCATCTCGATGAGGCGACGTTGGCAGCCTGGACAGGAGATCATTCCGTCGATGTACTTGTGATTGCATGAGCTGCAATGGTACCCGGGGTAGAGTACCAACTCCTGTTTGATCCAGTGCCTCGGTTCAATCCTCTGGCGAAGTCGGATCCGCTTGCCTTCCATGGATGGCCAGACGTGGATGCCGATTCCGAGCGAGCCGTCATATGTTTCGATGAGCTGATCATCGTTCTTCCTTCGCTCGATGACTTCTTCGCCGACCTCGCTCAAGATGTCCGCCGAAATGCGAAACGGGGTCTTGCAGTCGATTGCGACCGGCGCCCACTCAGCGATGGTGAGATTCTCGGCGGTTTCCAACAAGTCGAGAAAACAGTTGTGCTGCTCCAAGGCAAATTGATCTGGACCAAAGATGTACTTGTGGCTTCCATCCTTGTTCCAGCTCGCTAGAGCGGAGTCAATGTTCCGACGGAACGCCTGGTAGGCCGGATTGACCCACACAGGCTCTGCTGTGCCCCGCTGATAAGCGTAAACCAGATATCGATTGCTGATCCAATCTGGCGTCTCCAGTGCCCCGGAGCGAGTCTCGAAGAGCCGGACGCCGTCCAAGACGGCCATTTGGAGATCGATGGCGAACTCGACGTCCGCCGCCTCGCGAAGGCCCGCATTGTCATCCCTTTTCCATTCTGGTTGCTTTGACATCATGACAAAAGCTCTGCTACCACTCTCGTGGAGCGCGGCACCACCAGGCAACAATCCGTATCTGATGATATCTGGGAAGTGCCTCATGAAGGTGCCGTGGTAGCCCAGTTTGCAAGGGAAATCGACAAACTCCTGGGAGTACATGTCGAACGGATGAATCTTAGGCCGAGTCGCTAGACTGGCGTCCCATGGCACAAAGGAATGCACCACGGAGTGGATGTCGGCGAGTTCGGTATCGTCACCGAAGAGCCCCGACCAATGCCCATGGATAGCCCGAGCTCGAAGCACGTCAAATTCCTGATCATTGTGCTTCTGAATGTAAACTTCGTAGCGGGCTTTCCCGTCGACTGGAGTCTTAAAGACTTCGAAGATCTGGGAGACCTTGAGCCCGTTCCAGATCTGGCTAAGGGCATCGATGAACTCTTCCCAGTCCATCGAGAGGTCGTTCCGACGGATCGTCACTGTCGGCGTTCTATTGCCGTACTCGGGCTTGTTGGTGAAGCCTCTGAGGACGAATGCACACTTCTTGCCCAGTTTGAAGCGCTGGCCCTCACTGAGGTGTCGATGATCAGACGCGAAGGGCGGCAGGTCCGGGCCTGACAACCAAAACTGACCATCCCTTCCGGGAGGTGACGCTTCTGCCTTGGCACTGGCAGCGTGCTCCGCTTTCGGCGTAGGTGCCGATTTCACAGCGGTGATAGGCATCTTCTTAGGAGGCGGTGGCTGCAACG